CCTGTGCAGCTGGCCCAGGGGAACAGCAAGCCTTTCTTGAATGAATTTCAAATAAATCCATCCCAAGAGTTAGGATTCTGACAACCCGAACTGCTCTACAGGAAGGGCGGTTACTCTTAACCGTGACCTTTTTTGGACAACCGTTAGATACAGTAACACTCCACCAGACACATGAAGAGTTTGTGTTTATTTGTCTACATTCAGCATAAAGCAGATGTGCTGTCTGAATGATCCAGCCATACAAACCCCGTCTCTTTCCCATGAGTTTTAAAATAAAATCTTCACTTATAAAACTGAAAAACACTAAAGCATTAAAATACAGAAAGCTCGTTTAACTCACTTCACAAAAGCATTAGCAAAAGATATCCCTTATCGATTTAAATTTGATCTTACATCAACACTCGAATGTCATTTAAACGGAAAAAGGATACCCAGTGAAACTCAAATTCTATTCAGACTAAAGTTGAAATGGGAAACTAACAAACCATTAAATACACCATTAAATGTCCAAAATACAGCTAAGTATGAATTACAAGGTACTCAACCATTAGTGACTGATATCACAAAGAGCACTGCAACATGGAAACAGGGTTTACATGTTTACGGTGATGCAATAAAAACTCAATATTCAAAGGGTATGCAGGTTTAGAAGAGACAGGCTTCACACCCGAGACAACAGCCGGTTTATCTGTATTGATAGTTCATGCTGTGATCATTTCTGCCATAGCCAGCTTGAGAGGCCTGGTAGGAATTGGGAGGCCCACTGTAGTTCTGGTTTGCACCTGGCGAGCTGTAGTTTGACTGAGAATATCCACCTAGAGAGAAGGGGGGAGAAGGTTACTATTAGGCCACCATACAACTCTCACCATCTCCAAACACACAGGAGAGGTCAGCCTCAAGAAGGTCTTGGCAGTGCACTAGCCTGACTGCCATTGGTGAATACTCCCACCAGAGGTACGACAAACTGTGTCGAGCTCAGAAGGGAGAGACTTGACTTCGCACCTGAACCAATCCTGCCCGCCCCCTCTGGATGCCCAAGGAATCTGGGAAAGAGGCAAGCCCCAAGCACTGCACGTGAAGGCCAGAAGCCGCGGGCGCCCCTCTCCCTGCTCCTTTCTAAATGGGATACCAACACCCCAGGTCATCTGGTTTCCTGGATGTGTGTGACACCCTGGGGAGGGTCCGTGGGACCGCAAAGAAAGGATGGGCGCGAAGAATAAGATCTTAATTCACCAGCAGGCAAGGATCTCAGAGCTGCATGTTCATATATTCTGCACTGACCTTGCTTACCTTGGTAAGAGGAACCTCCGCCCCCAGATCCTCCCCCATAGCCGCCATGGGAACCAGCATTGTAGGCGGCACCTCCGGAACCATAGTTGTTTGCACCACTGCCTCCGCGTCCACCGCCGCCACCGCCGTAACCTGGAATGAAGAATACGTGCTGAGGAGAGTCTTGTGTCTCACACGGAAAAGCACTGCGCACATTCCGGCCCAACAGGACCCTCATGGGAGGTGGCCTTTCAGAAAGGGGGTCCTTCACTCTTGTTAAGCAAGGATGTTCTCGGTTCTCAATCACTGGTGTCTCTTCTGTGGGCCCTTGCAACGGGGGCAATAAAGGGGCTCCTTTTTTTTTTTGCCATCAAGTCGCAGCTGACTTCTAGCGACCCCGTAGGGCTTTCAAGACAAGAGGCATCCAGAGGTGCTTTGCCAATGCCTATCTCTGCGTAATGGCCCTGGACTTCCGTGGTGATAGCAGTAGCCACCGGGGCCAATCCTGCTTGGCTTCTAAGATCTGACGAGAACGGGCTAGCCTGGGCCATCCAGGATGGAACAGAGGGACTATGCTAGCTAGAAACTGGGAGTCAACCAAGTTTCCCCAAATCCGCCCCAAGATCATCAAGTAACAGTTCCTCGGTGTGTTGTCTGCAACTCAAGCGGGTCCATTCTAGGTGCACAAGCAAGCTCATTAAAAGTGAACTTTTAACAATGCTCCTTAAAAATTCAATGCTTTCCCGAAATGCTACCTGCACAAGAATCGCATATGATACACGTCTCCAGGCCTCTTTCTGTAGCAGGAACTCCTTTGCGTATTAGGCAACACCCCCCCCCTAATGTAGCCAATCCTCCAAGAGCTTACAGAGCTCTTCTTACAGGGGCTACTGTAAATTCTTGGAGGATTGGCGACATTAGGGGCGTGTGTCGCCTAATACGCAAAGGGGCTCCCTGCTACAAAAAGAGCCCTGCTGACATCTCATTTACGTTATACGTTAGAAGAGATGCTGCCTGAACACCGTCTCGACTTTGCTGATCCCTGTCCTTGAACAGCTCAGCACAGCTGATAGTGTTCAAGCCACTGGCTGTCTTTCCACCATTTCCAAACTCTCCTTGCCCAACCCCTCTAAATTTCTTCTCCGTGTCCCAGGTATTCTAGCCTCCTACATAATCACAACCACAATCTATGCCTTTAGGAACTCTGAAGTGCCACATACCGGAGAGACGCCCGCGAAAGGGTTCCATGGCTCCCCTGCCCCCACTCAACGGGAACTCACTGAATTTATTTTCATAGTTGTAATCTGATCCTCCTCCGCCGCCGCCAGAAGAGTTGTAGGAATTGGAATAGGAAGCGTAGTTGCCTTGGTTATAGCCCTTCGGTTTGCCTTGGGGAGGGCCGTAGTTACTATACTGGTTCTGGTTATATGACTGCTGCTGCTGCTGCTGGCCTTGATGGGACTGATACCCTGAGCCATAGGTAGGCTTTTGCTGGCCGCCATGCGGCTGCTTCTTGCCGACATGTTTGGGAGGAGCGGGAGAGCCGTAGTCACCGCCTTGGTAGTAGGAGCCATAGCCAGAGGAGCCACCGCCCCCTCCTGCATTGCCGGAATGGCCACCGTTGCTATAGAACTGACCTAAACAGAACAGAACACAGTTAAATTCGGGTGGGCAGCCATAGCCGCGTTGGTCTGAAGCAGCAGAACCAAGTGAGTCCAGTGGGCACCTTGGAGACCAACAAAGCTTTATTCAAGGTATGAGCTTTCGTGTGCACTGGACTCAGAATGTAGTTAAGCCACTGAAAAGCCAAGACAGCGATTGAACAATGCCGCATGCTCTGGACAACAGGACAAGAGATGCAGGTGGCTGCCTGGAATACTGCCCACTACACCTCCCTCACTCCAAAGGGCCAAAAGCTTTCAGGCACCACTCATTCCATCTGGGACAACCTCTGCCACGTGTTTAAACCCAGGTGTCCCCCTGCATTCTGTTCACGAGATGTCCACCCTACTTTAAGCTTCCATGGCAGACACGGGAAATTCGAACCTGGGTCTCCCACACGTTAATCACTGTGCTAGAAATTACCTTGAGGTCAGAATGTAGTCTACAGCTCCCCCCCCAAAAAAATATTTCACAGGGCCCATGATTAATCTCATGCAGAACTCTGCCACACATAGGTGTAGCATATTTTAAATAATGCCAACACCACAGGATCCAGGATTAGATTCAAATTTATCAGCCACTAGACTGTGGACTGCTGTGTTCAACTGAAAAGAATTCTAGAACACATATCCAGCAACTTCTCCAACGGCAATAAGATTGTAAGAAAAACACACACACACCCCACTGTAATACCTGGAGTGGGTGACTAAGAAAGTAGACTGCTATGTGAACTATGTTACAGTACTGTAGTAAAGGCCTACCCATAGACAGAAACGAGGAGGAAGAGAATGTAAAGAACTGACAAGTATACAAAGAATAGCTTCTCCATTAAACATACACCTTTGGACAACTAATGATTGTCTGAAGATTTTTAGAACTCTGCAGGTGTAATAAATATTTCCAGACCTGCTAGGAGTTGGGGGCTCTGCTTGTTCAGACTGTGTGACAACTGACAGTTTTCATTTATCTGTAAGGGTCTCTACGTATACAGAATCTACCGGAAACCTGTAGGTGGGCCATCTTTGGCAGATGTTATCTTCTCCGGCTCTCTGCAGTGATGACTCTTGAAGCGACCCAATTTAAAACTAGACTGATGTTTAGTCTTTCAATATTGAAGTGTAACACTGCTGTCCTGAGTACTGACTGTCCCGGTTTTCCTGCTACATTCCTTCTGACACAGAGACTGTTCAGCCATGCTTTCCTCCAAAGAACTCAGAACAGCATGTACGCTCCCTCCCCTCCTCACCGCAACTCTGAAGTGAGGCTGAAAGACCGTGACCGTATGACGATCACCCCAGTTAGATCTGCAGCACGGTGAGGATTTGAACCTGCATCTGCCCAGCCCCTCCAAGGACTGCGTTATGCAGCTGCAATGAGGGTGAAGAATGGCCGCAATTCTCTTTTTTAAAGTACGGCCTAACGTATGGATTGCAACAAGTTTTCAAACAGAAAACTGACATTTAGATCTTCAGGTCAGCCATCAATCAAGCTTTTTGCCCACTAAACACAGAGCACCCGCCAGACAGTTGCTAATTCCCTGTAAATTTGCCTTTTTTTAAAAAAGCCAATTCCATCCAATGAATCAGGACTAGAAACACTGTACTTTCAGTAAATAAAGGAATGTTTACTAATAAAATTTGAAGAGTTGGATTTCTACTCTGCCCTACAGAGAGTGGCTTACAATCTCCTTCCCTTCCTCTCCTCACAACAGACACGCTTGCATTAAACTTTGTTGCGTAAAGCTAATTCTATTTCTGATCTTTCCCACTGAATCCAGTTACAGCTACCAAACTGCTTCAACTGTTAACGGTGCCCATGTTATTGCCAAGGCTGTGGCATATACTTTATAGAAGTACTGAAACAAAGAATCAGAGACTAGATTAAAAATCTTAAAGACTAATTTATTCCCTGTGCCTTTTCATGTTTGGTAGCTTGTATTTCCTGGGACATTACACATACATCTGTTCTGGGCAACAAGAAAGGGTACAGAGCTCCACGCTCCAATGTTTGCAACAGTCTTTAAAAGTGCTCTCGGCTTTTTAACCTTTAGTTGCAAAAAACTTCACTGCAACTAATCAAACCAGTTCAGTTTTTTTTTTTTTTTTAGAAAAACAAACAACCTGACCACAGGTCCTGGATTTTATAACCATACAGCACAGAAAGGATGCAGAGATTAAAATTTGCACATAATATGTCACATACAAGTCAACATTATCCATGCTTAAAAACCGTTTCGGCTGTGGTAGCCTCTGAAATGTTAAAAGAGGTCAGTCTCCTTTTTGAGCTATCTACCCACCTTTCAGGACTAAAAGGGTTAAGTTTCATACAAAATCTGTTGTAAATTAAGACAAGTTTAACACACTTTTGGTTGCTCCTTAAAAATAAAGAGATGTTTTCCATTAAAATCAAACAGGGGCCTTTTGTTTGGAAGCTGGACAAACTTAGATCTTAATTGTGCACAAAGCACAAAGACATTCCTTGAAATTTAAGTTCCCCCTTGGATAGTGTACATCAATATGACCAAGTTCAAAGGCAAGTCACAATAAAAACTGCCACTTTGTAGGCTAAAGGTTCAGACAAGCTGCGGTGAAAAGCCACTGTTGAGAAACCCAGTGAAGCACAGGGACACAGCCACGAACACTTTGGGTTTTGGAGTTCGAGAAAATTGGAGTAAAAAGCTGTTTTATGTGCAATACTTTTAGATGATCTAGGAAGACCCAAAATCATGATAGCCGTAGCAGTCTGTGAAAAAGTCACCTACAAAAGGGGGAGACAGAGCAGAGAAAAAAAATTAGAATTCTTTTGAAGATGGCAAAATGTGCCACATTTTTAAAAAATTATTTTTTATTTCTCTGCTCCCGTCAACCCCCCTCCCAACAAAGGCTTCTCAAAACAACCTGTGCCATTTTTTTCTTCCTTTAAGGGAAATGGGTTTTACGACAATGTTGTATTGCTTCACTTGGCTTAAAGCAGAGAAATTTTAAAAACAGTTTTTAAAAAAAGAGCTTGTTTTCTTGTAAAAGGGTTAGTTTTCCTGAAAGTCATTCATGCCCAGTACAGCACTTCGCATAGTAACCTGGTTCTGAGTTTTTGCTAGTCCTGGGGAGTTGTGTTTTAAGGTTTGCTGAAAACACAGAACACTTACTATAGCCTGCTGTTGCAGAGTTGCCTCCATAGCCATAGCTTCCATATCCAGCTCCTGGGAAAAGAAGGCATCACACAACAGTCAGTCCACAATGTGAACAGGTAATACAAGGGACACAATGGAAGCCGCTTTTGAGGTTAGACAAAAGATGTACAGAAACGACATGTATTTAATCATAAATAGAAAGAAGCCAAAACAAGAGGCCCAGCAAATGGCTATACTTGGGCCGGAATTCAGGTTTCAATCCCCCCACCCCTTTTTTTGGCTTCAGGATTGCTATCTCAGTGTCAGAAGAATAGCTCCCCATGCCCTATTTCAAGGCATAACAGAACGACGGTAACACTGAAGCCTCGGATTATAAACCATGTTATGAAGTTACACGTATAAATCATTTTGAAGTGCAGAAACTAGAAAGGCAGCAACTCACCAGCATTCATATAGCCTCCATGATTGGCATTACCGAAGCCACCTCTGCCTCTACCACGGCCTCTGATATTTCCGCCTCTACCACGACCCCGCATGCTCGGGGGAGGTGGTACTTCAGTATGCATAGGGCCTCCCATACCATAGCCTGGATTATGCTGTTGAAGTAAGTAGAAATCCAGGTGTTTGTGAAAATACATACAGAGATACAAATATTTACTTATTTCCAACCCCATGCCCTAGCAACAAAATGACTGACTTCAGCCCACACATCTGGCTACCAACGAAAGGCTATTTGTCAAAATCCCCGGGTAACTCTCTCTTCCTGGAGGCTGCACAAGTGTTCTTTGACACGCCCCCAAGCACAGACCGCAGCGTATTGCACCAACCTTCACTATAAACTTGGGTCCCCCTCCTCCTCGTGTCGGCATAGGGGGTCGCTTCTTCTTTTGCTCCACTGGAAGGGGAGCATCTGGGAAAAGCTTTTCTAACGCAGCCAGGGCAGCGTACGCCTTCGCCACCTTTTTGTTTGAACCAGCCCCTTGGAACTTCTGCCCGTCAACCTCCACCTTTAAGACAAGATAAAAAGGGTTCAAAAAGAGCTGCACTCGGCAGAGTCTATAGATCAGATTCCACCGGCAAGTGTTCCAAGGGTCACTGTGAATACGCATTCCCTGTCGGTTCACCTCACCTCCATCACAAACCGCTTGTCGTGACTCCCGCCCGTTTCTGAAATCAGCTCATATTTTAAGCCACGGCGCTTCTCGTTTAGTTCCATGACTGGGTTTTTCCCGTGTTTTGTCAGGATCGGTCCCTGCTGTTTCACATTCTAAGAAGTTAAAAAGTATTATTGCATTGATGCAGCATCCGTGATTCGGAAGCAATGCAAGGCAAAGGATCAGAAGCAGTTAAGCCAGCCCCTCGCTAGGGCCACCTAGCTCAAGCTTTCTGATCTCACAGTGCCTGGCCAAGCGAGGCAAGACGAAGCAGACTGGGCTCTAATGCCTCGGTAACAAAGCCCGTTAAGAGTAATACAACGCTGTGTGTGTGTGTGTGTGTGCGCGCGCAGAGGGGAATATTCTGGAGACAGTCAGCAGCAGAGACACTGACTGTGGACTGCTGCTGGTTCAGGTAAGCAACTGTTAAATCACATCTTTCAGAGGGAAATGGAAAAAGGAAAGATGTGAACACTGGGGTTAGTTTCAAGAAACAGAAGACTCATACGGGACAGAGAGAAGAAGGGCATGCAAGGTAGAACAGTGAACGCGGCAATGGAGCAAGGAGGACAAGCGATGTGGAGTCACTAGGGTTATAGCCCACAGGATCCAGAAGAGATTTCTCGCATTCTTAGAACTACAGCCAGTGTTCACCTCTGTTTGCTCTGACGGTGAAGCAGCGCTTGGAGTACAGACGGTTTCCACCACAGGAGGAGCCGTGACGGCCACTGGCTTCGGGTCCGTTTCCTCCGCTGATTCGTCCCCCCGCTCTCTGCCTTCCACGCCAGTAGGCAGCCCCATGTCTTGTAATACCTAAGTGACACCAGAAAAACCAGCCATGTTTAGCCTAATAAGTTGCTGAGAGGCCACTGTAACCTCTAAGTGCACCTACTGTTGAATCTCTAGGAATAAGCGGCTAGCCAACTCAATTTCCAGGCTCAATTCAGGGGTCATACCAAACCCCGATTTACACTAGCCACCCCTTTAGAAACCAGGCCCTCCTTTTTTGAGCTTCCAAGCATACAAAACCCAATTTAGTGCAAAGGGGTACAGTTAGGTGGGGAAGGCACAGCTGGCACTTCAGCCTGTCCCTCAGGCTGAAAAGCAAACATGACAGAACACAAAGAAGAGTTTCTCCTCCTTTAAGAATAGGTCACAACCACCACTGTCAGTTGCACTCTGAGCGTTCTGGTCCTGCCAGAATAGGAGAATCTGCCACATCCCTGGGCTCACAGTCACATAGACAGATCCCAGCTGCTGGCAATAGAGGAAGCATGCGCCTCCATACCTTCCATGTAAGGGGCACTGCTGAGCGAGCCTCTCTGCACCCTCCCTTTGAAGGGATGGATGGATCCTGGGTGAAAGGCAGAAGGAAGAGTTCGCCTTCTGCTGCCCAGCTGGGTTAGAGACAACTGATTTGTGGTCTCTCCCGTGGAAGACCCTGGGAGGGAAGCAAGAGGAGCACCCCTCCTCTTGCCACCTACCTAGATCTGCCCATGGGACCATAGGCCTACGGAGACATTTACTCTGCCGCTCAGCTCACCTGCACTACTTCAGGCCAGGGGCCTGCCCGCCTTCATTTGGCACAGGGAGCGGGCTGTATGCTTTGCTTGGGGCGTGAAGCGGCCCTGGCAAAGTCACCCCAACACACCCATGCTCTATGACTGCGTGACATGGGTGGGACAATGCTCCCCCCCATAAAGCTACCACTGCTCGGGGCCACGGCAGGCTGGAGATAAACACTTTGCCTTTTTAAAACCCTCTGCCTTTGGCACGCTCTCAGTCTTCAGGGAGGGACAGATATGCTTGGGAAGCACCCCCACCACCACGATCGTTCGGGATGGACTGGCACTTCCCAGAGACAGCCCAGAGGCTTTTAAAGTGCAGGCCCCTTGACTCTAGCCTGCTCCAGATCTTTTCTGGCACCAGGCTGCATCACAGGGTAGGGCTCTCTTCAGACCAACCCATATCGTGTACCTCTGATTTAGAGCTGCCTGTCTAAATTTAAGGTGCCGGTTTGGTCCACACCTTAGTTTCTAGGTGCAATGTCTTCTTGGCAAGAGGGCAACAGCTACTGGGCTGTTTGACAGACATTATGCCAAGCTGGAGTGTTTCACACTCCATGTTTTAGGCTTCCAATTCTCATTTGTTGGCAAGTCAAAAACCCCAGTTTATTAATTCAGGAGTCACAAGACCACAGCTATGTAAACCATGGTTTGGCACAATGCTGAGTAGAACACTATAAATCTGTGGCTCACTTTAAGAAAGCCATGCACAAGAACACCTCTTCCAAGGAATACACATTGCATTGAAAGGCAAATGCTGTATGGGTACTTTTTTGTAAACCGCCCCCCTCCCCCGAAAAAAACAACCCTGCAAAGTTTTCTTATCCATGTTATTCACAACCATCTCTTACCTTCACTGCTACGTGTAATTTGGCTGTCTTTTTGGAAGGTCCCGAAGCTTCGTATGTGACACCATCAACTTCAACAGACATAGTAAATATAGGAGCATGCACTGGACCCGTCTGAGACACGAGTTTATACTGCAGCCCAGGTTTTAGCTGGTTCAACTTCATTAGAGCGTTCATGGCTTGTGGAGGTTCAGATTTCTCCTCTGAGCAGAAGAAATTGTGTGTCAGACACGGGCATCGACGTCACATTCTCCCTGTACCATCCACCATCATTGTCAACAACTGTGCTAAGTGCAGAGACCAACATTCACAGCTAGCAAACCACAACAGCAAAGCAGCGAAGGTGGGACATACATTTCTACTTCCTACTAGTTTATATAAAACATGAAGGCCAAGTATCAGCAGTAGCAAGCACCTGGAGAACTAAGTATACCTACCTCTTGCCAACTCAATACCTTTTTTCTGAATCTTCTTTTTCTTTTTGCTTGGGGACTTCTCCTCTCCATCTTCCTCCATGGGACGTTTCAATGGGGTAACAGCATATGTAGTGCTTGGGGGAATCTGGACTGTAGATACAAATGCAGGAAGTCAATTGCTACATGTAGTAACACGTATGCTAAACCTATTCACAGAAACAAAACTCCCAAGTACTAAACCTACCAGTATAGTCAACCGGGGTTTCGTTTTTGGGTTTCTTGGGCATCTTTGAGGGCAATGGATCCATCCCCAAGACCTTGTGAAGCTGGCCAAATGCAGCAAGCCTCAAAGCATGCTAGAAAGACAGAATGTACATTACAGAAGTGCCCTACGCCTCGCTCTTGATTCCCCCCCCCCATGCCCACAATCCCAAAACCCGGCTCAAATATTTCAAGCAGAAACGCCAAAAATCAAACCTCAGCACAAGCTTTTGACGCTTAATATTAACTTATTTCGAGCAAACGACACTTCGTGTCTGGCAGATCATCACAAGACTCCTGCATTATTGGAATGGGACCTTTTTTCCATGTTGTGGAGATTACTAGCTATCATGAATAACTCATTGTGGTTTTGTAACATCTGTAATCAGAACTATACCTGAGCACTCTGTGTGATATCTTCCCTTTGTTGTCTGTCTAGATGCCCAATAGCATCAGTGGCTTCTTTTTCACAAGGATCATAAATACCAGAACCATCTGAAGGCAGGAAACAAGGAAGATATGCAGAGAATTATCCTAAGGTCTCTAGGACTGAAATATTCCCTTAGCATCACCAAAGTGCGATGTAAGCAGCCCAGATGAAGTTCTCGATCAATGGCCAGTGATCTCATCTAGTCTACAAGACAGGTAGTTAAGCATGGCATCGGGGCAAGCTTGCCAAAGCCTTCAAGCCCTCCAAAACAATCTTGTCACAACCAAGTACGGAAACTGGAAATATGGGTCCACAATTTTAAGCGCATTTTCAAAGGCATCATGGTGCCCTATGTATAAAGTCTTAAAGATAAAGAACTAAAGATAAAACAGGCATGTCCAATTTGGAACTGGGCATAAGAGACCTAGAGTAGAACAAGTCTGCGCCAAAGTTTCTCAACAGTCTAGAACCACCTAACCTGGCATAACTATTCCCGATGCAAGGCATTCAAGAACTCTTCTCAGGGCCTCGCCAGCTCCCATAGGCCGGTTGGCTGTTCCAATTGACTTCTCACATAGCAACTCCAGAGGCTGAAATGACATTTCAGAAAAGTTTATTTTAAAACAGAGTAAGCACAAATAAAGTATTACAGTGCAGATGCTTCTGGCCAAAGGAGCCTAAGTGACCACAGCTGTTTTTGATCTACTGCCAAGGCTATCCAGACAATCTCTGTAAACAGTTTGAAAGGCTGGCATTACACCAGCAGTGCCATCTAACCTTCTAGCAAAGCATTTAACCAAACTGAAAGGTGCGCGCGTGCACACGCATGCAAACACACACAGAGTTGAGCTCAACTGGGGAGCTGGAGTTTGATCGGAGAGTGAAACTACTGGAGAATCTTGCCTTGGCCCCGGACAAGTTGCTGATGGCTTTCCATAAAATGATAACCGATAGCCCACCAGAGATCAAAAGTCCCCTCTGGGTCGTCTCTGCTTCCTACTTGGGAAAAGGTTATCACCTTACTATTAACCTCACCAACAGCCTAGGTGAACGATTCCAGCGGTGAAGGGAAGGACTTCCACGTCTTCAGAATAATATGGAGATTCGCATTTGCCCAGCCTCCTAGTCCTGTTCTTGATGGTACAGATCAGGGCTACTCAGCCCACCAGGGCTGAACCTTAGCCAGACCTTGGGAGTCTGGGGGAAGAACTTCCCTCCTCTCTGCCACCTCCCTGTTTCCCACAGCACGAGGAACAGCAGCTCAAAAGAAGACTGCCAAGGCTCCCCAAAGAGAGGGGACCGGCTATGTAAAACGGTGTGACTCGCTCGGTCTTTCCCTGGCTGACTGCTGCAGTGGTAGTTGCGCGCCCTCCTCTCTCTGGCCAGGTGGTTCTCCTCTCCTAGGGTTGAGACCAGATGCAGACTACGGAGAAGAGTGGAGGATTGCCCGAGAGGGTGGATCCTTCACTTCCAACTCCAGCTTAAGGCCTGCAGCTTTGGAGAGCAGGGGCTATCAAGTCCCAGCCAACTTATGGTAACCCCATTAAGAGTTTTTCAAGGCAACAGACACTCAGGAGATGGTTTGCCCTTGCCTGCCTCTGGATAGTGACCCTGGACTTCCTTGGTGGTCTCCCATCCAAGTACTAATCAGGGCTGATCTGCTCAGCTGCTGAGATCTGATGAGACTTGGCGAGGCTGGGATTTCCAAGTCAGGGACAGCTTGTAGCTTACTCATCGTCCAAACCCTGTTGCAAGGTAGGAGCCACAAGCCCTACAGGGCAACAACCCTACTTACTTTCCTGGAACACTGGACACACGGTACGTGGGGGGACAGTGCCCAGTGGAGCCACAGGTGGCATGCCATGCAGCCACTCTTGGCTACCAAGCCACGGAGTATCACTGGTCTAGATTCTGGAAACATCCATCCACCTAGATAGTCAGAGAGTGTACAGAGCCTCTCCTGACACCTGATGGGGCTTTATTCCTCCACCACACCCTTCTACCGCTGCTATGTTGGTCCGCAGCATCCTGCCAGTCTGTCTCTTCCAACAGCTCCATCTCAAGAAGCAGGGCGGCCTCCAGCAGTGCCCACAAAGCACTGGCATGCCAATCTGCATCAAACACTGGACACTCATTCCATGAACGAGAACTACAATGAGACTAGGTTCAAACTAAGTTATCGACCCTGTGCGGTTTTGGAACATCCAACTTCCAGTGTGTGTATCTTGTACACCTTTTACTTAGTTATGTGTTCATGTTTCTAAAAAGAAAAAGAAAAAGAAAGAAAAGGAAATACAATGTGCAAAATTACCCATCCTCTAAGTGGAGCCCAAGTAGGAACACGGGTACACAGGTCTCTCAGCACCCTGATGACAATGACACAAGACTTCAAGCCATTTGCTCTGGCCTAGGACAAAGTAATAAGCAGGACAGGCTCAGTAGTGAATATCAGAACCAAGGTGAGACATTTTTCGTAGTGCTACTTTGTCAAGGGTAAACTATGTACGTATCTTCGCATGTTTTAAAGTCTGTATTGGTGGTAACTGCACAAAAAATTACTCTTAACACAAAGCAGCAGCCATACATCTACTGTTCCACTGAAAAGCTAAACTTTCTTTTTATGTGCTTCTTTAGCAACTGTACACTTAACAGATGCTAAGTTCTGCACGTCTACAGCCCAGCATTAAGATGCTTTTAACAAAGTTTAGGTAATTACAACTTACACAAGTTTTTCTACTTAAAGACAAATATAAGAACAAAATGCAAACCTGGAACCACTTGGCGTGTCGGAGTGACGCCAAGGCAGCAAGGCATTTCTGCCTGTCCAGAACGTCCGGTGAGTCGTTGACTGATAGCGTTTCTATTCGTGGGTGGAATAAGAAGACAAGGTACAGTTTGACCAAGGGGGTTCTGTCGGGTGGAGAGGGGATGAGGCAGTTTCCTAAAGGGCAGCTGAGGCTCCCAAGAATCTCATCTACCTACAGCTGAAAGAATACCCTCAATTACCCTTTTTCCTTTCACCCGTATGATCTGGCAGCTACCTAAGGAGGACAAGAGGTACTAGCTAAATCCTACCCAGGGAAAGAAACCCTACCACTAAGGAAAGAAACCCTGTGCTATGTTAAATAGGCTACTGAAGAAGCTAAGAACTACACTCGTCAAGGGAAAAGTGAAAATTCCCTCCCCACTCTGTTGTATCTTTCAAAGGCCCGTAAACTAAGGGGTTTTCTAAGCTGGGAACTCCCTCCGCCCACAAGGCTCGACTGCCCTGGCCCCAGCCCATGACAGATTGCGTCCTGTTGGTCAAAGGTCCAGCGTCCCTAAAATCGATGTGGTAGATGTGGTCAGATATCAGAACCATAAAACAGTCAGAGAACAAAATCATCATCGAGTCTGTGCTGCAGCAAAACTGAAGCTGGGGGAAGGCGGAGGGTTTTAGATAAGGCTAGCTCAATCGCTCGAAAGGCTTTGAGACCACTGTGGCACATGGCTCACTGGGCTACTGAAGAAATCCAAAGCAGAATGAGCTTTTCGAATACAGGAACAGTTCTGGTGTGACACGTCAATTTACACACACGCTCATCACTGCATCATCAAGTGATGATGTGCATGTATGTGGAAAGTAGTCACACGGCAAACACTTCACTGCCTCGTACTGTTTCCACTGGAGACAGCTCACCCACTCAGTTCAGCATGATGCTTCACAGCTATCACATGCATGGGAACAAGCCCTGATACATACTTAATAAAGATGCAGTAACTTTATCCAAAACTCTGTAGTCTACAATTCCACTAAAGAGGAACTGAACACCACCAATCATTTTTGCTGCAACGCAAACTGCTTTATGTAACACATCCAATATAATGAACATGCAGAAATTCAAAACTAAGACGTCAATTTTTTTTTAAAAGGAAGGACTTAGGTTTATAACATCTGCACCAGCCATGGAAAATGTTTGCTGAAAACACACACACACATACACACGCTCTCTTCATTCAGGGGCTTTGCCCAGCCACAGGCCCGAATATTTAAAATGTGCATTGATTAGGAAGGTGCTACTCAAATTTTAGGAACCTCTGAGACACAACAGTGTGTCGTTACAAACATGATGGTGACTTGCATGACGTTCTGCCTAGTCAGAAATTGAACACCACATTGAACAGTGAGATTTGCAGCCACGGAACGTGTTTCCAGACTGACTGTCAGCAGCGTTCAGCCCGTCATACCTCCAGCTAACATTTTTTCCATTTCTTCTCTGACAACAGGGGATGTCAAGTGGATTGTCAGTGTCAGTGGAGGCTCTTTTGTATTCTTAATGACAATTGCCGCATCACTGATAGACTGGATAATTTCATATTTATCTTCAGTAATACCCTGAAACACACAGGGGAAAAAAATGCCTTTAACAGAGTTTCCCAAGTCCACTCCTCACCCATGTGGCATAGCATACAACTAGCATCTAGGAGGTCTGGGGTCGAAATCTCCACGCGTGCCAGGGAAGCTTGCCTAGCCTACCTCACAAGAGTTAAATTTGAGTCCAGTGGCACCTTTAAGACCAACAAAGCTTTATTCAAGGTATAAGCTTTCGAACGCTCAACCCTTGAACAGAACTTTGTTGGCCCTTAAAGGTGCCACCGGACTCAAACTTTTCTCTGCTGCTTCAGACCAACACAGCGACCCACCTGGATCTACCTCACAGGGTTGTTTAGGATAAAATGGAAGGACAGGAGAACGATGTAAGCCCCTTTGGGTCCCCGTTGGGGAGAAAGGTGGGCTGCAAATGAATTCAATGAACAAACCTCGAAACCATTCAACCCCAAGGACAGTTCAGAACAGTCCACACACCCAAAGGCAATACCAGGTAAATGCTGATGGTGTATGTAACTACCCCCTCTGCTTTATAGAAGGGCAAGTTCTCAGCCTGGAGTGCTTGAAGCTTCCCTGCCCAGGGGATAGTTTATGTTACAGCTCCTCTCAGTACATAATGGCTTTAGAGGTCTCTGTAGGATAAAGAACTCTTTCAACACTCAGAGGTGCCCTCTTATTCAGCATTGTGAAGGGAGCTCGTTTGCAGAGATCAAGAGAGACTTTCTAGTGAAAAGCCAGCACCACTCAGGGTCTCTCACTTCAGCTCCCTCCCCTCCATTCCCAAACTGCTGCATCATCATGAAGGCCGGTGAAGCAATTTTTTTGCTTTGAACAGAGCACCTGATGGGTTAGAAACAGCACACTGGGGAGGGGGCGCTTCTCTCCCAGCTGGTTCAGTGCACTATGACAAGAGGCAGCCTCTTCTTGTGTCATGGGGGGGGGGGGGCAGCTGCAATTCACCTCTCTTTCCCAGTTATTAGATCTATAGGATCAAATAATCTCAGGAGAGATCTAAGAGACTCTTCCAAACACGTTGACAGATTCAGGTGGGCAGCAGTGTTGGTCTGAAGCAACCGAACGGCACCTTTGAGACCAGCAAAGTTTAATTCTGGGTATAAGCTTCCGTATGCCTGCACCCTTAAGAACTGTGCATGCACATGGAAGCTTGTACCCAGAATTAAACTCTGTTGGTCTTAAAGGTGCCACGGGACTCAAAATTTGTTCTCTCAAACATGTTATCACCTTAGAATAATTATAACAGGCACACACAAGCACATGTTATCACCTTAGAATAATATACAGGCACACACAAGCACAAATTTCAAACATTTAAGTAGTGCACAAGAAACTGTAAATGAAGAAGCCTGAGACTACAGGTCTATCTCATATACAGCCAGTGGGAACACTGAACACCAGGACCTGCTTCTGTAACCACCACGCAGAAATGCACAGGAGCTTCCACAGCCTACCCTGTAATGTCTTAAACATACTGAAATTGTGACAGCCGCTACAGCCCCTGTTAAGGGAAGACTAAGAGCAGTTGAATGAAGAAATTAATAAATGATTAAGTGATGGGTGCAGTCAATCACAATGGTGGGTTGGCTGCTATTCAGTGTCGAGAACATGTCTGTCACTAACTATGTTGACACTTTGGTACTATATGATACGAACTGTTAAACAGGATTTCTAAGGATGCAGCCGTAACAGACATGAAAACCAGCTGAGACGATACACCGAACTGGCCTAACCAGGCTGGCAGGGCAGCATGAATTCCATGCAGCAAGCTGGCAGGCTGTGCTCGGGAAGCCCTGTTTATTTTTTTGTTAACGGCAGTTAAATGAAGTTAACGGGCCTCCACGCTCCAAGGCCATGTGGTGATTTTCTTTTTTCATACTTACAGCAAGTTGCACACCAAGATTGTCTGCTACTTTTTCCAGAAGACCAGTTGTGGGCTTCTCCTTGCACAACAACACCAGCTCAAGGTCTAAGTCTCCCTTCAGCAAGAGCCCCTTGGCCACAAGACCAACTCGCATCACTCCACGAAGGGTTCTAGTCAAGTGTTCGGTGGTCTTCGGCTCGCTACAAAAAACAGGCGACAGACCAGTTATAAGAAAAGTGGAACAAACTGTGGGATTTACTCTGCTGGTAAATAGCTGTTGATCAAATGAGCTTTTAGCATGCTTTGTCTTCTTTCTTTTTTTTAATTCTACACATTCTGGTTTTCTGATTCTCTTGGAAAATGGCTCTCAATCTAAGCTTTCCAATAACCAAAAAACGTGTTAGTAAGTTCATGCTAGAAAGCAAGGAAATAAAACTGACAGCCGAAATGGAAACTTTATCTTAAAAAGTAAAGGTTTCCCTTGCTCAAAAGCTAGTCGACTCTGACTCTAGAGGGCAGTGCTCATCTCCATTTCCAAGCCAAAGAGCCCGCGCTGTCTGAAGATGTTTCCGTGGTCACGTGGCCGGCATGACTAAACTGCTGTTACCTTCCCACCGAAGCAGTACCTATTTATCTACTTGCAATTTCTTGCTTTTGAACTGCTATGCTGGCAAGAGCTGGGGCCAGAGATGGGAGCTCACCATGTCACGCGGCACTTGGGTCTCGAACTGCCAAACTACAGACCTTCCAGTTTGCAGTTCAGCATCTTAACCTCTGAGCCACGGTAGCCCTATAAGTTTATCTTAGTAGTGCAATATACAGTGGTTATAGAGTAGTGTTTGTTTCACAACATTAATGAGGAAATTGTATTTCAAAGTTCACAAAAGAAACCGAACTATTCTGCTTTCCCTCTCAACATGAATTGCAAGCACCCTTCTGACCAACTTCACCATGATTCATATTGGGTTACCAAAAGGGCTAGAGCCAGTGTAGCAGTGTTGGCCTAGGACTGGGGAGACCTTGATTCAAATCTCCATTCAGCCAAGGAGCTCACTGAGGCCACCCCCACCAAGCCCACTTCACAGGGAGGGGACTGAAATGGAAAAATTGGGAATTTTGAGAAAATTTAGAAGTTTGTTTCATCACAGTATTTGATTTCTTTATAATGCTTGAAGGTAAACACAATGTTTTATTGTGCTGCTTAAGAAATATGCTTCACGTTCCCTTTAATCAATCTCTCTAGTAACTCATATTAAGGTGTTCTATGTAACACAAAGCAAATATAATTCTTTTAACATGAGACAGGATAACCACAGATGATTTATGCTACTATAACTTGATGACAAGGCCTGTGTACAATACAGCCTGCAATTTCTTTCGTTTCTCTTTTGCCTAGATGCAGGGCTATTTTTGGGCAGGAACACACAGGAACGGAGTTCCGGCTGGCTCTTGAGTTGGCCACGCCCAGCAGGAGCTCATTAGCATAACAGGCCACACCCAACAGCAGAAACTCATTGGAACTGGCTACATTAGGGGTGTGTGGCCTAACATGCAAAGGAGTTCCTGCTACAAAAAAACCCCTGGGTTTTGACAACAAACAAGGTAAACAGAAAAAGAAGCAAAAGGTGGGTGTGGCTGGATGACCACACTTCTGGTAACGTGGGGGTATGGCCTAATATGCTAATGAGCTGTACTATCAGGGGTGTGGCCTAATATGCAAATGGGATTTTGTTGTTGGGTATGGCTTATTATGGTAATGAGTTCCTGCTGGGCTTTTTCTACAAAAAAAGCCCTGCCTAGATGGTTCCACTTTCTATACTTAGCGTAAACGCAGACACACATGTACATGTGCTGGAGATGTAAAATTTCCAGAAATTTTGACGCCACAGAAAAAAATGGAAATATTGGAGAAAACTGAAACATATGATATACTTGTTTTCTTATCACATCTAAACCTTTTATTAAATACATCATCTATAACTTAGTTAGCACATAGAATTGTTCTATCTATGGACCTTAAAAGTATAAATGCCTTAATCCTCTATAAGAAAAGTGCAAGTATGTGTAATACCTGAGAAAGTTGCCAACTGCAGCACCCTCTGCTACCACTGCACATGTATCTTTAATTCTTGTCACCGAAGGAAACAAATGAAAAATGAAGGTAGGAAACAATTCCTCTAGTATAAGAAAGTTTTAAACAGAAACTTTCTCAAATATTTTATTTTTATTTAAAACATTTTATGCCACCTTTCCACCCAAAGGGTCCACAAGTCAGAGTTCCAATAAGCAGGACTCCCAGGCTGTTTGGATACTAAGTTGAACTTCATAACTCTAAAAACAGTGAACTCTTTAATAATGCATTAACATTAAAATCACACAGCATATGGTTACTAAAATTATTTAATTTAAACAAAAGAAATCCTGAAAATGTTAGACTGACCTAGAATATAAAAGTTTCATTTTATGCTCCCCAACCTGTTACAGTTTTTTCCATCAGAAAATCAGAGGAAGTCCTCAAACTTAACATGTCATGTTTTGTAATGAACAAAATGCTTTGTAGAACAAGGTTTCTCTCACTCAAAAACAACTATTTCATAGGTTTTTTTCCAGCACTTTCCAAATTTTCTTCATTTTTACTTATTTAAAACCTTTGTTAGCTACCTTTCTCTCCTTTGCGGAATTCAGCCGCTTACAAGATAAGTACATCATAAAAACACAATAAAATAATTATAAAAGTAAGTTTAAAACTCCAATTAGGACAGCCACTAATAAAAGCTAAATAAATCAAAATGCAGTCCTACATAAAATGGTCTTCAACTGACTCCTGAAGAGTGACAGGGCCAGGCACACCTCACCTGGGAGGGTGTTCCACAGATGTGGGGCTGTCACTGAAAGGCTCTCTATCTTGTATCCACGAAATAAGCACCTTTACCTGACGAGACAGTTTGGAGTGTGCCTCCCTGCAACCTTAATTCCAAGGCAGGAGCATAAGGCAAAAGACAATCCTTTGGAAACCCTGGTACCAAGCCATGTAAATCTTTAAAGGACACAATCAATGCCTTGAATTGGGCTTGGGAGCCCCATCAGCAGACTAGCGGCAGCATCCTGCACTAGCTACAACATCCAAACGCTCCTCTCAAGGGCAGCCCCACTTCAGGTAACTGTTAATTCTCATTTAGCAGACAAACGGCTTCCCTTTATGGATTACTCAGTATCATTCTTTCAAATATCGTAAGACAAATAAATGCTATAATGAGATTTGATGCTATAATGCTACTTTATGCTACAATGAAATATATATAATTCTTAAGGAATATATTTTTGAACATTCAACTATGTACAGTTTGACATAATTCACAACTGTTGATGAAAAATAATTGTTATTTATAATAATTTTCTTATAATAAGTTACTTTAAAGGGGGGGGGAGCCTGAAGGACAGCCCACCGCAATACACCAGTCTAAATGTAACTAAGGCATGGTCCACTGTGGCTAGATCTGACAGAATCAGGAACAGACACAGCTGACACACTAGCCAGAACTGGGTGGACACGGCTGCAGCTGGGGGAACACTGGAAGCCACAGCAGCCACCTGGTTGTCTAAGGAGACTGCTGTGTCAAGCCACACTCCCAAGCTGCAAACCCAGCTTTTGAAGGGGAGCATAACCTCATCCAAGACAGGGGATATCTCAAGGCCTTGGTCAGCTGCCTTTCTAATTAACTCTGTCTAGTCAGGATTAATTTTCACTGGGAAAATTTAGACAGATCCCACATTTTCCCATGCTATACACTATTTGAAAAAAACCCTGCCTTAAGAAACCTTTTACTTATTCTAGAAGATAAAATATTTTCACATTAGTTTTTCCAGTGCTCCACCAAATTAAAAAAAATTGGAAAAATTCTGAAAACACACACCGATTTTCCCAGACTTTCACATCTTGTAATACACATGCATGCAATCAAGGGAAAAGTGCAGCGTTAAAAAACCTGTTCATGCAAATTTTTTCATTTCCTGAAGGACTGAACTGAAGGTTCAGAAGGTCTGAATCTTTTAGAAACTACTTGAATTGTGCTATTGGAGAAGACAGAGCATCTACTAGAACGGAGAGGCATATACAATCAACAACTATTGTTAGCATCATTAATATAGTCAACATGATCCTTGCAGTCCAGTCTGTGTGCTTATTCAGAAGTAAATTCAATTAAAGGGACTTACCCCAATGCAAATAACCGAGAATGCATCCCATACCTCAAACTCAACTGAGTACCCAATTTTTCTGTGTAATACTGAACACTAGTTTTTACAGCTATATCCTGATCTGTTCTTTTAAAAGTATATGTTTCTTACACTTCTATATGGAAATGCAGGTATTTTTTACTGTTGCAATGCCACAATAATAACACTTCCCTTTTCATTACAACTGTTTCTATTTTCAACTTTCACTTTTCCTCATCTTCCTAACTGGTAAGAAAATGTTGAGTCTTCACAAGAAATAAATGAAGTAAATTAAACATAAAACCAGCTTCTGAGTCCAACACACCTAACAGTTTATTTGCAAGTAGAGAGGTTATGTCCAAAATCGGGGGTTGGGGGGGTGGGGTTTAAGATCTGAGTGTCATCATTCAAGTAAAAAACCTTCAAATAGAATATACAACAGGAAAGTGACATAACCTGTCATCCTGGCTTAGAGAGATCTGGATTTCCTTAGAGTATAATTTATAATAACCCAACAGGACCATTTTTATGATATTTTAACTGGCTCTTTTCAACATGCTGTATCTTACTATAACCCTAACTGATGTTAGTTGATTTCCTTCTGCTTCAGACTGCCTTTTCCTTGATTTGTTATCTTCTTTTGTTTATTTTATCTGTACCCCATTAGAGGGTTTCTGGAACCTCTGCTCTCTCCTCATCCTTTTGTGAGTAAAAACATAATCCTCTCCCACTGCAGACAACCATACTTTCCCCCACACCAGTTATTCTCCTTGTAGCACAAAATTTCCTTCCAATATATACCTGAATTGATTTTTGAATCAGGAAAGCTCACGCTGGAATATACGTTTTTTGCCTTTAAGGTGACACTGGATTTCAGTATGCAAACTTAACTAATCTAACAACACATCCTTGACTCAAAACTGATGCTACATGGTAATTCCAGATATGTTATCAGTGTTAGCCTTTGGCAACCAAACAAGAGAACTCCACCGGCAATTTAACAATTTATTCTAGAATAAGCTTTTGTAAATCTGCGCTTACTTATTGTACCTGATAACATGAGCTCTGCCTCGTGAAAGTTTATGCTGCAATAGATTCCGTTCGTCTCTTGATGTGGTACTGTATGCAGCGTGCACATCTTCTCATGAGATTCAGTTTGCTCAAAGCCTTCAACTTCAGTATTACTCAAAACCTGAATATACCCTTTTCTTGTGTACTAAGATTCTGGCAGTAGCAACAAATCCTATGACTGGCCAAACTGAAGGGGTGTTGTGGAACAGTCACAAGTATTATACTCTGCTCAATTAAACATCTCTCCCACCATAATAATGGCAGCTTTTTCTTTGGAGACACAAAGGAAGAAGGTGAGTACAAAGTAATCCAGGCTTCCTTAAATGGTCTGGGGGCCAACATACCTTCAGGACTGCCTCTCCTGGCATCCCCCCGCCGAAGAGCATTACGCTCCACGGAGCAAAATCTCCTGGGGATCCCTGTCTTGAAAGACATCTGGCTGTCCTTGGCCAGGGCCTGATGGAACTCTCTGCCTAGTGACATCCATGACCTGAGGGACCTGGTACAGTTCCACAGGGCCTATAAGACAGAGATGTTCTGCCAGGCCTATGAGTGAGGACAGCAACGGTTTACCACCAAGCCTGGCCTCAATTACTCTCCCCCCTGCCATGGGAAAGGGTATAAATCGGCATCAAACGACACCTGGATTAGTTTAACTGCATGTATTGTATTGAGTTCAATTATTAAATTGTTTAAACTGAATTTAATGTTGTGCTCCGCCCTAAGCCCTTTGGGGGAGGGAAGTCTACAAATATTATTAAGAAGAACCGTTCAAACTTTTTTAGCTTTCCTCTTCATTCTGCTGGACCCAAGAAACATTCCCTACCCCCCTTCACACACAAAGCACATGGGTTGCAATAGAGTCTGTCACTAAGGATGCTTAACAACTGATCAACAGTCGCAAAGCTTGTAAGATGATGGAGAACCTCTGATCAATGATGTCACTTGCCTTCCTTCTTTGTTCTCTTCTTCAGCTGCCGTCTCCATGGTCTCTGCTGGTGGTTCTGGCTGCTCACTGCTGACTTTCTCCTGTTCGTTAATCCAGTCAGACACAGCTTTGAGAGCACGTTCAGTATGAGAGACCATGTTCTGAACGGCTGTCAGCTCTTCCTGAGTTGGATAAACTGCAGAATGTTTTGCCATGACATGGCGGTCATCATTCACAAAAATACGCATCGGTCGCTGAAAAATGAAAAAAACAAAACCATAGAATAGATAGACTACACATTGTTTTTATTTTTAAAAAGCTTCCGAATGGCAAATCCTTACCATTTTTGCTCCTGACTCCTAGCTGAACTTCTGATGAAATATCTCCTTCTTTGAAGCTGCACCAACTGTAAAGGCTTTGGTAGTCTGAGAATGAAAAAATATTATTAGTATTAGTTCAAAATTGGTGTGAAAATAAGATATAATAAATCACATTACTTAACATTCATGCCGTAAGTACAAATCTGTACCAAGTATATAGGATTAACTGTGTCACTATTAAAAGGAAAAGTTGCTAAACTTATCTTGATCACAAGAATGATCAAAAGTTGATGTAATTACACCTATGAAACTAAATATTTTGGAACCTAGCTGGAAGGCCATTCATGCTGCCTTGGAGTTCCTGAAGGCGGAAGAGTTGAAAGTAACCCATTTGTGTCCCCAGGGGGAATAAGTGAAATAAATAAATGGGAGCAAAGTAAACGTCTTGTTTGGCAGTCAGTGGGCCAAAATAGACTAGAAAATGAAAATCTATAATTGAATCTCCTGATAATTTGAAGTAAAGAAGAAATCTGACAATTTGAAGTAAAGAAGAAACTATCAACTCCCTGGGACTACTAATTTGATCAACAGTGCTGGGGATGGGCATTTATTTTTTCCCCAACCTGCCTCTTTCCCCTCAACTCCAATTCCCTGACCAAATGAGGAACACCAGCTGAAAGATCTGAGTTTTGGCGAGGTCTGTTGTCTAAGCTCTCCCACCCAAAACCACTCAATTCAGACTCTACAGAAAAGGGGGGGGGGGCGCTCCTGTGTATGTCATTGTTAGACATGAACTGTGTCCCTGATTGTATTTTCCCAACCCAATTTGAGAAACACACGAAACAGTCCTGTAGAGAAGAAACACTTAAATTACAATGGGTGACATAAAACTTTATACTCAATATGACATAAAGAAGCAAAGCATAACTTCCATCAACTTCGTCACAAATTTCTAATTGGTCTAAGACCTGTGGGGTGCGTCTTCCCAAGTAATTTCCCCCCCTTTTAGCTAAACAATAGACGCTTCTCCTTAGGCTACGAAGCTCTAAATGTATCTATATAGCTGATATAGTTACAGGGCATTATTGTTCTCCATTTAGCTAGGCTAACTGATATTAGAAACATGTGCAGCTGTAGCTGGGCAGTCAAGGCCATGAGCCTTAGCAGAATAGTAGCATGTTAGCATTTTTATTCTCCCAGCATGCATTTAAGCAATAGCCATAAATGTACCAAAGTTAATATCTGAATATATGTTCATGGTTGATTTCTGTTTATGTGGTTAGAATAATAAATTGGACTTAACATATATATATCATGGAAGTGCTAAGTGTACCTACTAAGTTAATGTTAGTCACTGGCAGAGTACAAAGTGTATAACAGTGTTTCATAAACTGTGTGTGCAACATCATGGTGGATCGGAACCCATCTGGAAACACCACACCGTTTGCAACTTATGGGAACCCTGTGGAGTTGTCAAAGCAGGAGATATGCAAAGGTGGTTTGCCATTGTCTGCCTCTGCGTAGTGAGCCTAAATACTAAGCCATGCCAACCCTGCTTAGCTTCCAAAATCTGATGAAACTGGACTACCTGGGCCGTGCCGACACTAGTCCCACCATATTCCCATCTGTGGAGCTGCCGAGACAATTGAGCAGCACATCACCTTACTAATGTGGTACCAAGCAGCCACAAGACAAGCACCACCAGCTAGCAGGCACAATGTTTACTGTTGCACTGATGGGATAAGCTAAGCACAACACTATCCTAAACCCATCATTATGCTGCCAATAAGATCTTTGTAGCAGAAATAAGTCCAGAAGGTATTAATTGCCAAAATGTAATTTCACCCCTACCCATAAACACTATTTCAGATATGTGTGACTTATAAACAATTCTTTTTGGGAGAGCCAGTTTGGTGTCGTGGTTAAGTGTGCGGACTCTAATCTGGGAGAACCGGGTTTGATTCCCCGCTCCTCCAGCCGTTGTTCTGATAAGAGCTGTTCTTGAAAAAGAGCAGTTTCTGCCAGAGCTCTCTCAGCCCCACCTACCTCACAGGGTGTCTGTTGTGGGGAGGGGAAGGGAAAAGGAGATTGTAAGCCGCTCTGAGACACCTTTGGGTAGTGAAGGGCGGGGTATAAATCCAATCTCTTCTTCTCATTTTTTGGGGGGAAACGTAGTAAAGCATTGGGGAGGGGGGACATAGAAATTTCACTTTTTAAAGTTATTAACAGGAGTTTAACAAAATTTGAGTGCAGTGACAACTTTAAGATCAACAAGGTATAAGCTCTTATACTCAGAATAAAACTTTGTTGGTCTTCAAGTTGCCAGTGGTCTCAAATTTGTTCTGCTGCTTCAGACAAAGATGCCCACCCACCTGAGTTTGACATACAAAAGTGTTGGAAAACAGTCCAAAGTCAAAGGTCCTAAACGGTCCTTCATTAGTGCACAAATAGCTGATAATGTAGATTCTCAATAAATGCTTCACTATTTCTCGTAAGCAAATTCATGCTGGTTGGCAGGAGAACAGGTAGACTAGAGTCCGGTAGAACCTTAGACAGACCAACATAAGCTTTGGGCTATGCACTTTCAAAGGGAGTGTTGACTCTTAAAAGGTCATACGGTTCCCAAAAAATCTCACTGGTTTCAAAGGTGCTGCTGGACTCCAATCTAGCCAGCCTAGTATTACTTTCTACAATCATTCAGAAATCCACTAATAGATGGTTAACAACGCTTCTTTGGGAAAGCCACATGGCCTCCCTTGTACCAATTGGTGCTTTCGCACATGCTAAATAATGCAGCTTCAAACCACTTTAGTTACTGTTTGCAAGTGGTTTTTGCCATTTCACACAGCCAAATCCAGTTGCAAAGTGCACTGAAAATGGATTGAAAGTGCATTAATTAGCGTGTGTGAAAGTGCGACACTAAATAATGCACGTTCAATGCTGCTTCCAAGTAGATTTTACTGTGTGAAATGGCAAAAAAAACCCCACTTGCAAACGTTCACTGAAGTGGACTGAAACCACATTATTTAACATCTGTGAAAGCCCTCCCCCCATTATCCATAACACCAAATGAAAAGTGGACTTCCCCAGCCTCCCAAGAACCAGGTAAGACCTTCCTTTCGGTTAGGGGAGAAGAGACTCTTCCGTTCCGCATGCTCCGAAGCTGCCTCCCTCCCAACAAGCTCCGAAGCTGCCTCCCTCCCAACATGCGCTCCACAGACACACACACACACACAGAGGGGCAGATTAACCATTAAACAGACTAAGCACGTGGTCAGGGCACCAGGGCCAAAGGGGGCACCACAAAGTTGGGAAAAGGGTGAAATGCTCGGTTTGTACAGTATATTGTGTTACCCTATGAATGAATTTTTGTACTGGTGCAACCTGCATTGTATACCTGGTCACCCAGGTCAGTAACTAAAATGGAGTGGGCCAGTGTGGAAAGGAAGGGGGGGGGGGACGGACACCAAGACTGTTCAGTGTTTAGGGCACCGGTGAGCCTTAATCCGCCCCGGCCCGGCCTCCCGAGAACCAGATAAGACCTTCCTTCCAACCAGGGGAGAAGAAGAGACTCTTCCGTTCCCGCCCGCCCCCCTCCCAACACACACACATACCCGAGTCCTTGAAATTCCGGAATTTTAATCCGGCGCTTCGAGGCTTGCGGAGGGGGTGGCGGCTGGACCGCACGGAGGCAAACACACACACACCGTACCCGGCCTGAATCCCCCCCCCCTC